TAAGATATTTTTAAAAAATCCTGTGTCCTGGATGACTTCTGGCCACGAAGTCTGACTACAGACCCCAAGGGTGCGCCCACCTTTGCCAGTGTAGCCCAGAAGTATCTGCTGCCTGTTGAGTGTGTCTGGCCAACAGCCACCCTGCCAACGGAACAGGTCTTTAGCCAGGTTCACCTGTCTCCTTAGCCTCAAGCAGGCCCCTCCCCCATTTCCCCAAATTCCAGGCCAGAAGATACTGGAAGTCTGCATTCTTCTCTCATCCTCCCCTACCCCCAATCTCTTTTCGGTCCCAAATGCCACTCACACTGTCACCAAGACAGTGTTCGCAAGATGACATCTCTCCTCCTGCCCGCTCCACACTGCCTGCCAGCCCACAACCCCTCCTGCATTTGCAGGCAGGGTGTCTGCTTTCCATGACTCTGTCCTCCAGTTCCCAGCCCAGAGGCCTTCTCTATGCTCTTGGCTGATGTGAGTTCCACCGTAATTGGGGGCTTAGTTCAAGTCACCACCTTCCCCCAATCCCAGCCATCCAAGAGGCCTCTGCAATGGACCTTGTACCCCTGTCTCACCTTTTTGGAAAGGGACTCCCAGTAGCAGACTAGGCCCTGTGGGACCTCCCTGGACCGCTCTAAGGAACTTGCAAGTCACTTCCATGGGTGGTGAGGAACTCGCCTCCCAGTGGACTGAGCCCCCAGGCCTGGTCCCCACATTGCCAGGCTCCTGTCATTCTGCTCTCTGCTTACCAGCCCCTAGGCTGATCGCTGTTTCTGGATTCTGTAGGTCTGTCTGGACAACTCAGTGACCACAGAGAAAGAGTTGGACACGGTGGAAGTGCTGAAAGCAATTCAGAAAGCCAAGGAGGTCAAGTCCAAACTGGGCCAGCCTGAGAAGAAGGTGGGTCTGTATGGGAGGAGTGGTGGTGAGGAGCAGCCAAGGAAGGAGCTGGCTCCAGTGAACTGGACTCTGGGCATACTCACAGCCACTGAGTCCTGACGCATGACCTTGGGCAAGTCACACCGTCCATTCTCATCTGCACGGTGGGGGTGGTGATAGTACCTGCTGTACAGGGTTGTGAGGACTACTCGAGACTGACTTCGCATCCCCGATGTTTGTGAGAACCTCTGAGTTTCTCCTCCTCATCGCTGGCTTTTCGAGTTCTTTTCTTCCTGATCCTTCTCTTTTTTTCCTGGGCTGACTCGAGCACTCTCCTAGGTTGGCGAGGATTGCCAGCTCTCCGCTGCCCCCTGTGTCAGACCCAGCAGCTCCCCTCCCACCGTGGCTCCCACATCTGCCTCCCTGCCCCAGCCCATCCTCTCCAACCAAGGTAATCATGTATGTAGCTTTCTGCCTAGCAGAGCCACATGGGCCGGGCTGGGGTTGGGGGGAGGTGCTGGCATCTGCTCCCGGCAGGGTTCAGACACACGGTGGGTGTGGTGCTGTCTACCAGCCAGCTCCTCTCTGGGTGGCGCATGGTGGGGGTGCCTGGCCTGATTTCAGCTCTGTGGTGGTTTGCTTAGTGAGGCCCACCCCCCACATTGTTCTGACACCCACATCAGCTCCTCTAGGATACCATAGGGTGTCACTGCGGCCCTGAGGCTGCTCTTGGAACAGGCTCGGCTGCTGGCTCCCCCGCAGGCTGTGTGGGCGGATTGGCTCCTTATTAACGGGAAGCCAAGCCTTGTTACTTTCCTGAATCGGCTGCCTTGATCCCTGCATGGGGAACTTGCTTTTATCATCGCCTCATCTCTGTGGCTCAGGCCCAAACACTATTTGTGGGGCCAGACAGGCTGTCCAGGACCCATGGAAGACCAAGCCTTTTCACCTGCCCACTGTCTTAGCGTTTTCAAAGGGCTTTCACCTCTGAACCCAGGCATCCTCGGAGATGAGTGAGTGAAGCAGGTCCCATGAGAGTGTCTGCTGGCCCGGCCCCCACGGAAGAGGGGAGGGTGTGCCGTCCCGAGTGGAACCGAGGCTCGGGACACACAGGAAGGAACGCCGCCCGCCCACCCGGGCTCCTGGAGATGCAGAACTTGGTGTGAGGTCTTGGGAAAACAGTTTGACCCTATGTTTCAAGAGCCAGAAAAACGTTCCCACTCCTTGACCTGGTAACCCTAAGTGGTGGGGAGTTTTCGGCCTGCTAGGGCGGTGCACCGGGGTCACAGCTGAGAGATGCGGAGAGCATTCCTGAGAATGGATGCTGATGTCACGTGCCAGAGCGATGGCCATTTGCTTTTGTAAGACTTGACTGAGAAAGTTATTTTTTTACATAAAAGGGGCAGGAGGTTGGTATCCCACTGAAGACTTCCCTGACCCCATCTCCTGCTGGGAGCCAGAACCCTCTTTGGGCCTCACAGCCTGTGGAGGACAGGGAGGCAAGTGGTCCTAGGCCAGGGGCCGGTTCTCAGCCAGCTTTTGTGGAAGTGACGACCGAGTGTGTGAGTGAGTGAGCAGAGCAAGCGGAGAACAAGCTGGTAGAGAGCAGACCGCAGGCCAGGTGAGTGAGGCATCGCCCCAGGGCCATAGCTACAGGCAGCCCCCCATTTGATGGCGAAGCCTCTGCACCAGCCAGGCCCAGGCCTCAGCCCCCTTCTTCACTGCCCCCCACTCCTGGGGACACACCACCGAGTGGCTCACTGTAGTCTGTTCCCCTTCCCCAGCTGATGGACATTTAGACACTGTCTCCAGACTTGCACCTCTTATAAATAAAACTGCAGTGGATGTCTTTGTGTGCACATCTCTTTCCTTTCTGTGAGAAGCAAAGTCGGGCCCCCATCCAATTGCTCTCCTGATGTCCTTGTCCCGTCCTCTGAGTGGCCCTTTCTGACCACTTGTTTGTACTGACTGTGGTCCAGGAAGGAAGCAGCGAGATTATCCCAATTCTCACTTCCTTGGCTCCAAACAGGGCTGGGGGGTGGGGGGATGCGGGGTGTGACAAGAAAATGTTGCTTTCTTTTCTCGCTAATATGGAGGAATCCACAGATATTTTTGTGTCCAGCCATGAGCTGCTGGGTCTTGCATGGATGGGCATGGATTTCTCCGTGTGGGAACAGCTTTGCTCCCAGCCTGATCCTAGAAGTGTGTATATGTGTGAATAAACTGGGCACTTGGAAGCCTGCGTGAAGGGCACTGTCCAGGGGACATCAGGCCTCTGGTCATTTCAGAAGCTGGTAGCCAGCTGGTTGGAGCCACTGAGGATTGTGACCGATAGGCGCTAAAGTGCGGAAGGCCATGGCAGGCTCACCAGGCGGGGCGGAGCTGAGGGGCTGGAGAGAAGAGGTGAGGAGCAGGCTCCTGGGTCAGACAGCTGAGTTTGTGTCCCACCTTCCTTGGCTGTGTTCCCTCAAGCAACGTGTAGCCTCTCTGAAGTTCTGTTTTCTCAACTATAAAGTGTGAACACCCAGCTTCATCACTTCTAAGATGTACACAGCTTCTGAAATTGAGATGTGTCTTTCAGTCAGTGCTGTCTCATAGTTGCTGGTACTCGTGATGGAGTCGTGTGGACACCTTCCGTGGACACCTGCTAAGGCCAAGATGGATGCCCATACATCTTAGATGTGATGAACTGAACGAGATGTGCGTGAGCCAACACGGGAAGCACCGAGCACTGCTCCCGGCTCATCAGAAGTGGTCATGGAGGCCTCCCTCTCCCGTGTCCTTGTTGGGGAGTTTCAAGGTGACCAGGACAGTGCCCCTGAGGAAGCTGTGTGCCCAGGGAGAACAGGAAAGAGT